GAAATTTCTCTTTTTTTAAAATACATTCAATTTCCCCTAGATTTATCACCTTGTACCATTCTAAATAATTCTGGTCGTTTCTTGATATTGACCCTCTCAAATAAGCTGTGTTTTTCTTCCATGCCTTATTCCTTTGTCAGTACAGCTATAGATGTTTAGCTCTTTTATTCTTTCCTCACTATTCTGTCCCTCCAGGCTGCTAACCATTTTTCCTATTCTTCTTTGAACTTCCATGTTGGATAGGGTTACCATATCTCATAAATAAAAAAAGAGGACCCTCCACGGGCCCTGGCCCCGCCCATTTCCCCACCCCTAGCCCCGCCCCAACTCCGCCCCTTCCCGTCCTAACTCCGCCCCCTTCCACTCCCAGCCAGGGGGAAAGGACTGCCCCAGCACTACCAGCTTCAGGGTTTGCCGGGCAGCCCCCAGACCCTGCGCCTCCAGCCGGCGCTTCCCCAGCGCAGCTGGAGCCCGGGAAGGGAAGTGCCCAGCCGGGGGCACAGGGTCTGGAGGCTGCCCGGCAAACCGTGAAACCGGTAGCGCTCGGGCTTTGGGGAGCCCCTATGCTTCTGGACCCTGCGCCCCCAGCCGGGCACTTCCCCGCCCGGGCTCCGGTGGCGCAGGGTCCGGAGGCACGGGGGCTGCCCGAAGCTGGTAGCACTCGGGCAGCCCGGCTCTTAAACAGAGCCAAAGAGTCGGGGAGGAGCAGAGCCGCCATTTTCCCGGACATGTTCGGCTTTTTGGCAATTCCCCCCGGATGGGGGTTTGACTGCCGAAAAGCCGGACATGTCCGGGAAAAAGAGGACGTATGGTAACCCTAATGTTGGAAGTGATTTTTGTAAAGTTTGTCCCCATTAAACTGCAGTTCTGCCCTGAAAAAGGAGAGTGGCATCATTGGGCTCCATGTTTGTCTCTCATGACTTACAATTCAAATCTTTATGATGTGGTGTTGTAGCCATGTTGGTCCGAGGATTTTAGAGAGACAAGGTGGGTGAGGTGTAATATCTTTTATTGGACCAACTTCTGTTGGTGAGAGACGTAAGCTTTTGAGCTTACACAGAGAAGAAGAGCTCTGTGTAAGCTCCGAAGCTTATGTCTCTCACTAACAGAAGTTGGTCCAATAAAAGATATTACCTCATCCACCTTGTCTCTCTCTAAGTCTGGGTGGGCAAACTATGGCCTGTGGGCCGCATTCATCCTGTCAGACATTTTAATCTGGCCCTTGAGCTCCCATCGGGGAGCAGGGTCTGGGGCTTGCCATGACCCCCTCCAGCTCTTATGCGTAGGGGCAGCCAGGGGGCTCCGCACGCTGCCCCCACCCCAAGCACTGCCCACGCAACTCCCCTTGTCCAGGAACCGCAACCAATGGGAGCCGGGGGGCAGCACCTGCAGACGGGGCAGCGCGCAGAGCTGCCTGGCTGAACCTCCGCGTAGGAGCCGGAGGGGGGACATGCTGCTGCTTCTGGGAGCTGCTTGAGGTAAGCGCCGCCCAGAGCCTGCACCCCAATCCTCTGCCCCAGCCCTGATCCCCCTACCCTCCTCTGAACCCCTCAGTCCCATCCCGGAGCACCCTCCTGCACCCAAGCCCCTCATCCCCAGCCCCACCCCAGAGCCTGTGCCCCCAGTTGGAGCCCTCACCCCCCCACACACCCCAATCCCAATTTCATGAGCATTCATGGCCCGCCATACAATTTCCATACCCAGATGTGGCCCTCAAGCCAAAAAGTTTGCCCACCCCTGCTCTAAGTCAAATCTGGTCAGTTTACAAGTGAAAGATTGTTTTCTCTAATTGCCAGCCCTGCAAACTCAGTCTGGAATTGCACAGTCAAGATGAGTTCTTTCTTGCTCATACATCAAACTAATAATGATTCTGAAATAAGAACTTAGAATCATGTTCTGTTCATGATGCAAAAGAAGTAAAAGAATCTAGCTCTCACACTCATACCATAGTTGTGTGGGATATTCTACTAAAAAGTAGTAAAAGCTTAATTTGCTTAGTGAAGTAAAGCAAAAATGACAATAAATGCACATAGGAACAAGAGCAGTGCTGTGGGGTAGCTAAGTGCCTATTTTACATGGCCATGTTTCAACATGGAACTCATTTTTAATGTTCACCTTGTGGACACTTTCTCCAGTGAACACTATGGAGATGAAAAAAGTATTCTAAAGGCTTTGGAAGATTTCTGGCTTTTTAAAACTCCATCAGCTTTAAAATTTTCTTAACTGCTGGGCCTCCAAAAAAATGATGATTGTATTTCTCTTTCCCTTGGATAATGATACAAAATGTATGAAGGTTGGATTTTGTGATCAATGTTTGTTGAAATAAGATACCTTTTTCTAGGCGCCTCTAAAAACTTTTCCATCAATTTTTACTTCAGACTCTCTGGAGAGACTTGCTGGTACATGTGCAAATCTTGACAGAACTTACTATCTTATTCTTCAAATCTGAAGCCCTGAAGCCTACACCATGCTTTCTTTAGAAGGTAAGTTTAAGGGAATTTTTTTTATATACCAGGAGTCCAAAAGGAAGACATTTGCTGGTTGGAGGTCCAGTCCTGGGTGTATTGCTGATGATTTAATTGGTAACATGATTGGTCCCTTTGTTCCACATTGAAATAATATGGGTGAAGAGGTGTCAGAAGAAAGGATTAAATGGAACTCAGCCTGCATCCATGTAGCTGGAAAATAGTTAATGTCTGTCAGATGACCATAAGAACCCCTCAAGGTTACTACTCAGCTAGAGAAACATATAAGTGTAACCGAAAAACAGATAAACAGGACCTTGACTAAAATAGACCTATCATGATTGTCACAGCCTTTATATTCATTACTTAATGACCATGAATAGAAAAATATTAACCTGCCATCTTTTAAGGCTGATATCATAGAACTGTTTTGCAGATTCTTTTATTCCTTTATATTTTCCTATGCTATGATTTCCCCAAAATATATATAAAATTCAGAAAAGATACAATATAGATCAGTAGTAATCTGCTGCCTATAGACTGGGATTCTAGGTGATGAGATCCTTCAAGCTCGCACACTTCTTGATATTTTACAAAGTTAGATATGTGATAGTATAGAGACCCTAAAGTACTTTTATGTTGCATGGTAAGATTGTTCATTATTAGAAGCCTACAAAAAGTCTGCTGAAAATTACATAACTAATGTCACTGGGAAATGCAAACTGCTCTAAATTAGAGTCGGGTGAGCTGCTAAAACCAACAGGTAACATTCTGCCTGAAAATACTGCATTGGGATCCTCTTACAAATGTTTGATTTGTTTATTGGGGTGCATGTATCCAACTTTGATGGTCAAAGAAATGGAAATGTGAATTGATCACCAAAAGAACACTGTTAAGGAAATAAATATCTGAACAAAAAAAAGCAGCAGAAGGAAATGGACATGTTGTAGCTAGCTACAGTAACTCCTCACTTAAAGTCGTCTGGTTAACGTTGTTTCATTGTTACATTGCTGATCAATTAGAGAACATGCTCATTTAAAGTTGCACCATGCTCCCTTATAACATCGTTTGGCAGTCGCCTGCTTTGTCCACTGCTTGCAGGAAGAGCAGCCTGTTGAAGCTAGCTGGTGGGGGCTTGGAACCAGGGTGAAACGGCAGCCCCCCCATCAGTTCCCCATTCTCCTAAGTTCCCTGTGCGGCAGCCGCCCAGCAGACTGTCCATTGCCAGGCAGTTCAGCTGTCCCTCCCCCCACTGCCATGTGCTGCTCCTATCCTCTGCCTTGGAGCTGCTCCCTGGAGTCTCCTGCTTGCTGTGGGGGGCTAATGTCAGTGTCCTCCTTCCCCCTGCTCCTGCATCCCGCTTACCCCATCTCCATAGAGCGGGGAGACACGACAGGGCTCAGGATGGAGGGAGCTTCCTGGCAGTAGCTTCTGTCTCAACTTGCTGAGCTACTTAAAAAGGCAATGTACTTAGAGTGCGGTCGGGGTACTTAAAGGGGCAATGCGCATCTCTCTCTCTCACTCACACACACACACACACACACACACACACACACACACACTCTCTGTCTCTCTCTCTTTCTCTCTCTCACACACTGTGTGTGTCTCCGTCTGCCATGCTGTCTCCCCTCCCTCTATTCGTGCTGCCTTGTAGAGTGTGAGGCTACATTAACAACAATGGGTTAACCCTTGAGGGCTCAGCTGATTGCTAGTTCATCATTTAGCAGTAAGGCATTCCCTGGGAAATATCCCACCCTCTGACTTCACCACCTCAACTAAGCTTCACAATCATCATCGCTGTGTACCAGTATTAAATTGTTTGTTTAAAACGTATTATAAATATATATACATACACACAGTATATAGTCTCTTGTCTGGTGAAAAAAATTTCCCTGGAACCTACCACCCCCCATTTACATTAATTCTTATGGGGAAATTGGATTCGCTTAACATGGTTTTGCTTAAAGTCACATTTTTCAGGAACATAACTACAACATTAAGCGAGGAGTTACTGTATGTCATTTACACCTATATGGTCTAATTCACCATTGCCCTTCACTCTGTTATTATTTACACCAGTCCAAAGTAAGTTTAAAATGCTCCCAGATCAAAATGGTAGCATTTTATACCCACTTTGGTCTGCTGTGAATGACAACACAAAATGCAGCCCAATGGGATATCAAGCCGATAGAGTTAAACAAGGAACTTTCCCACTATGTCACAAGTAACCAACACAACCTTGTGGTGATGATTTTTCACATTTTTTTTTAAATATATCTAAGTCAAATCTCTTCTCTAAATCCCCAAGTGGCTTTTGAAAACTGGGCATAGGCTCCTAAGTCACTTAGGGTACATTTACACTGCAATGAAAGACATGGGGCACTGTTGTGCCTGGCCTGTGTCAGCTGACTTGGGTTTGCAGGGATTGAGCTGCAGGACTAAAAATTGCATTGTAGATGTTTGGGCTCAGCTGGAACCTGGGCTCTTAGACCACAAGGGGGAGGGTCTCAGAGCCTGAGCACAACACTGCAATTTGTAGCCCCATGCCTCACGAGCCCTAGTCAATTGACCCGGGCTCGGAGACTCAGTGCTCCAGGTTTTTTATTGCAATGTAGACCTACCCTTAAGCATTTTTGGAGAATTTTACACAATATTTTTAACAATTTGACACAAATGCAATAGACATAATAAAACCACAAATTTTGTTGTATCAGCCAAGTGTGAATATGACCCTTTGTACTCCTGGTTTTGCTGGTTCTGGAGCATCAGCCAAAGGTTAATTAAGGAGGCATAACACTGCTGATACCTCCCCTCTGCTGCTATGCCCAAAGTCACCAGGGAGTTGTCCTGTAAAATAGCAATGCAATATGACTTCATTTTTGTATTCTGGTTCTTAAACAAGCCATATCCAAAAATCTATCTAGATATGCCCTACAATTCCATATTAAGTACAGTTTTAATAAATAGAGACCACCTGACAAAGCCAGCCACAGTGTTAAACAGTCTAGTTTACTCTCATGCTGCTTCCCCCTGCTAGATTAACTGTAAGGTCAGTATGTAGAGGTAAAGAGAAAAAATTAGTTGCTGCAAAGGAGGAAGGATGGTTTCAAGGTGAAGGTACAAGATTTGGGTTCTTTTCCCAGCTCTGTCACCGATTTCTGCTGTGATTTTGGGAAAATCAGTTAATGTCTCTGTGCCTCTCTTTCCCCAACTATAGAGTGGGATCCTTGCCTCATGCTAGTGTTAGGAGACTGAATTCATGAATGTTTGTGAAGTGTTGTGAGATTTTGGTCCTCTGTAAATGCAAAATGTTAAGGTCAGCCATTGGTGCTGCCTGTATCACAGGGAGCTGGCCTCCCAGCTCCTTGGGTGCCTTTGAAAATCTCATCCTGAACTATTCCCACTCTAAAGCTGTGGCTTCTCTCACTCACTTGGGGAGAGTCTGATAATTTAGTATCAGTGGATAAATCACATTTAATGATTTGTACAGTTTCCCAAAGCTATAGAACTTTTTTGTTTAAAATAGTGCAAAAAAAAGAAGTCCAGTATTTGCAAAAAATTAAATAGTTGAAAACTGTATGTGTTTTGTTTGTGTGTGTGTGTGTGTGTGTGTGTGTGTGTAAGAGCTCAAGAGCCCAGTAGCTCAGAGGACTTGGGCTTTGGAGGGAACTTTCAAGACTGCCAACAAGGGCCCTGAACTTTAGAAGTTAAAATCCTGCACTGAAGATAAGACTCACAGGAGCCAATGAACATGATTTAAAAAGAGTTAATCTCCTACTGCTGTCACTATCACTTATCCAGTTGCATGACTGAGTTAACTCCAGCATAGGCAGTGCCTCCTGTCAGTCATTAAGAAGGAGCGCTGTGTGTGTTAGAGCAGACTCAGAGCAACACAGTAGTGGGTCAGCCAGATGAGCAGCAGGGGCCATGGAAGGAGGCTTTCTTTCATTTAAACAAATGGGCAAAGGGGAAGGCAGGGAAGAGAGGGGCCAGAAATGCCCTGTCCTCTTAACACCTCTGTTAGTACAGGAAACAGAAGGAACTGTTGCTCTCTTTTACTGCAAGGGTGCAGGAGCTTCCTTCAGCTTATCCACTGCAGCAAAGCCTGGGAGTTGACTCTCAATCTCTGGATATGAGGATGCCGTTTGTACTGCTCTCAAGCAAGGCTTAGCAGCTGGTTGTAATTATGTATTGCAGCTTCAGAGGAAGTTGCTGGCTGTGGGGAGTGTGCAGTGCTTGGCTGCAGATCTGCTGTTCTTAAGGGTACAATGGAGATGTAGAGAGTAAAAACAGTGGCACAGAATGAAGGGGAGGGTGGAAGCCTAATTATCCCCCACTTGAACTGGCTCCCTTGTTGAGTCATTACATGTTTGTGAAAGTCCCTTGACATAACATATGTATACCCCAAATGAAGTCAGATGAGGCAAAGTCACATTCAACTGCCAGGAACTCCTGCCACTAAGGACTGAAACTAAAAAACAAGAATCTGAATCCACCCAAAAAACTATTCTTTTTTTTTTCCTACTACTCTGCATCAAAAAAATTTTAAACTGATGTTAAGCCTTTTGGAAAGAAAAAACTGCATCAGGCTGACATATTGTAATGACTATTTATGGCCTTACCTTTAAAAATTGCAGAGTTATAAATAGAGCTGTGCAAAATGCAGCTATTTTGATTTTTCACATGGGTTCATGCAAACAAGGGTTTTGTTTGTTTGTATGTTTCAGTCCACCTGGTTTCTCATCACCACTCTCTACCTCATACCAGATTTTGCTTTGAATGCAAAGGAACCCAAAAACTGAAAGAACAATTCAGCCAAAGTCAGAGTTTTGCAAGATTCCGACCCATTTATTGTTCTAGGACAGTGGTTCTCAACGTACCCCTAGGGCTACACAGACGACTTCCAGGGGGTACATCAACTCATCTAGATAGTTGCCTAGTTTTACAACAGGACACACAAAAAGCACTAGCAAAGTCAGTACAAACTAAAATTTCATACCAATAATGACTTGTTTATACTGGTCTATATACCATACACTGAAATGTAAGTACAGTATTATATTCCAATTGATTTATTTTATAATTATATGGTAAAGAGGAGAAAGTACGCAATTTTTCAGTAATAGTGTGCTGTGACACTTTTGTATCTTTATGTCTGAGTTTGCAAGCAAGTAGTTTTTAAGTGAGGTGAAACTTGGGGATACACAAGGCAAATCAGACTCCTGATAGGAGTACAGTAATCTGGAAAGGTTGAGAGCCACTTCTATAGGATCATCTAGAATTGGCCTAGATTCACTTTACAGAGAGGTAGCTGGGTTAGTCTGTATCAGCAAAAAGAACAAGGAGTACTTATGGCACCTTGTGGCACTGGATGCATGCAGTGGAAAATACACCACCTTGTAAACTGTTGGAAATGGGTCATCCTGATTATCACTACAAAAGTTTTTTTTCTCCTGCTGATAATAGCCCACCTTAATTGATTACTCTCGTTATAATTGGTATGGCAACACCCATTTTTTCATGTTCTCTGTGTATATGTATCTTCCTATTGTATTTTCCACTGCATGTATCCGATGAAGTAGATTTTAGCCCACGAAAGCTTATGCCCAAATAAATTTGTTAATCTCTAAGGTGCCACAAGTACTCCTCGTTCTTTTTCCTAGATTTACTGTAATATACAGTCCCTTTGGTGAATCTGGACAAAGTCTTGGTTTTGTAATGAAAACAAAAATAAGGCAGGTTTTGTCTGGCTGTGGACTTTGTAACAAAAGCCCTGGTTATAAACCTCAGGAAAATAGCATTTACAATTAAAGTGACCAATAACTCTTAAGTAGAGAGCATAGCAGCAACAAAGTGTTGCTATTAAATCTGTACACCTGGAGCAACTGATCGAGATCAGTGGTTCTCAACCAGGAGTACATGTGCCCCTGGGGGTACACAGAGGTCTTCCAGGGGGGTATTCAATTTATCTAGACATTTGCCTAGTTTTACAACAGGGCCCGTAAGAAGCACTAGTAAAGTCAGTACAAACTAAAGTTTCATACAGACAATGATTTGTTTATACTGCTTTATATACTATACACTGAAATGTAAGTACAATATTTATATTCCAGTTGATTAATTTTAGATTGTATTATTATTGGTAGTCCATCGCTGACAATAATAATAATAGTAATAAAAAAAACTGTGTGGGAAATTTTTAAGTGAGAAAGCCGTTGCACAGGGGCAGTCCCACTCTTTTGGCTGTGGAAGCCAGATTCCAGTGGCACAAAATATCATTATGGCTGGGGTCTTCCTTAGCTGACCAGGACATCTTCCGTGCCTTGTCATGCTCTCCGTGCCCCACAGCACGTTGCTGAACCACTGACCGTTGAATCACAAATTGATTTCCTCGCCCAGTCCACAGAAACAGTCTTTGCATAGGAGAGAAAGGCAGTTTCCCTGTCTCACCGAGGGCAAAAGACCTATTGGCTACTCTCACCTGGTTTGGCCCACTTGGCAAAGCGGTTTCCTGGGGTGTGACCACTGTTGCATGCAAACAGCTACTTGGAGCCACAGGTGAGAGCTGGGTGTAGGTGTGGACCAAAGTGGATGAACTACTCCCAAAGGAGCACAGCATGTTCCTCCAGCAGAGGTACTACCCCTACCCAGTCCCCCATACACCCCATTAATTTTATAATTAGAAAGTAAGCAATTTTTCAGTGCATGCTGTGACATTTTTGTATTTTTATGTCTGATTTTGTAAGCAAGTAGTTACGTGAGGTGAAGCTTGGGGGGTACGCAAGACAAATCAGACTCCTGAAAAGGGTACAGTAGTCTGGAAAGGTTGAGAGCCACTGACTAGCTCTTGATAGAGAAGACACATCTTATCCATGGCTATTCTCAATTGTTAGAGGCAATCATCAACTCCCTGGTCTCTGGCTGCAACCTTGCAGATTTTGGCACCCAGAGGCAACCATGAGCCAACAGTGATCTTGAACACTTGAAGCGCTGGGGTTCATGTTGGAATCAAGATATCTGTGTGGACAAAAGAAGCCTGGTTATCTTCTGAGGTAAGTGTACCTCAGAGCTCTGACTAAGGTCAACGAATGTTACTTCTCAGCCACAGCACTTCAAAGAATCATGCAGCTGAACTCTCTTAGGTTGTAACCAATCTTATTAATCCAGACTGCTTCACTATAGCAGTAGCTCTTTCAGCTCATATCTGGTGAGTTTGTGCTGTTCTGTATGGATAGTTTAGATGGACTTTCCCTGTGGACCTCACAGATTTCATCTTTGTCCTGATGGAGTGACTGAATGATATTGTCAGCTGGACATGTCAAAATTACTTTCCTGGGGTTGAGAACAAGGTGTCAAGTAGGTAGTTCAATTTGTGAGTCACATCACAAGGCAGGACTGTGTCCATATGTATGACCATCTGAGCAGATGATATCTGGAAATATTAATTTACCCAAGTCTTGCATGTATCTCCATTAGCTATTCTTTTAGAGAGCTCATGGGACAGAGTCCCCAATTTGCTCCCTTTGTGCTACTCACGTGGTGCAAGGAGAGCAGAAACCTCTGCTAAATCTCTGTGTAAGATAACCCTGACACAGGGGAGTCCTCAGCAGCCTTGACCAACTCCCCCATTCTTTTGCTCTCAGCGAAATCTGTACACAGCAAAGAACTTGCCCCAATGACTCTAAGCGGTATCTTTAGTAGTACTTTATTTCCATGCAAACAGAGAAAGGCACTTTCACACAGCATAGCCCTGTATAGGGAAATAGTTTGAGACTTGCATATAAAACACAAATGATCAGAATCATGAGTGTTTCTACAGCAGGGACAGTGTTAGGCAGGCTGGACACGGTTGGTCACAGATACGTAACTGGCTTGAGACTAGATAGGGAGGCAATTTCATTCTTCCTTTCATTGCTTTGTATAGGGTAACAACTTTTATTGATTGACTACGTTTAAAGTAAATGCTGACACACAAAACACAACCTGTGTAATATTAACATATGGACATATATCTTAATGATTTATTACAATAAATTATGGCCTTATATTTACCATTACCAGGATCACCTCACTGTGCCTATCCATAGTCTCACACTTGAGACATGCAATGGGGATGTCTGAATGGGCCCCATTGTCTGTGTGGAATTTATAGTTGCTGAGGAATAGCTTTAATGTAATTGCCTCTTTTGTCCCTACTTCAGCTTGTCCTCTCTTCACATGAGAGGACAATAGCTTGGTCTTTTGGGCAAGCTCCATCCTTTACTTTATTTCCTTTTCAAGGATGCGTCTTCTTCCGTCTAGTAGTCTATCTTCATTGGTAAATAGCATAGTATTTAGTGAGAGTAATAATCAGAGCATGCCCATGCAGTCAGGTTTTTTTTTAAATCCATAGGCCATGGCCAGTTATAAAGGAAAGTAGCTGGTGAGCACTTAATGATAGTTTGCCAGTTTTTAAAGAGAGACTGTCATCAAGTCAAAAATGTAACCTTAATAACAATTAAGTTAAAAAAAAAAAAGGCATCCTCAGTCTGAAGTTCTATTATCTTATCTAAAAATAAGGACTATAGCAGGCTACAGTCTCATCTGGGTGACCCACCAACCACAAGCCTCAGGTGCTGTTTGATTGCAGGTACAAAATAAAACCAAGCCAGCAGGTCTACATTTTGTCCTGCAACCCTTAGCAGTGCCCCTTGAAGGCAGTTCTTTTCAGTGTCTCTTAAGGGCCTACAGATGGAATACATATTGTGTCAATAAAGGTATCGTGAGCATCTCCCTAAAGATTTTCACAATACACAGATAGCAACAGTACTCTTAGAGCTCTTATATTGCACCAACAATTTATTCAGTGGTGCTTTGAAGTTGGGTTGAGGTACTTGGAGCCATGATGCACTTTGAAGCAGCTGGAAACATCTTCAAATCTTCAAGGCAAAGATTAAAACAGCTACCAAGCTGTAAGCAACTGTTCAGGGCCTCTTTTCTTATAGAGCTGCCAGGGGGTAAAAAAACCAACCAAACAAATACATCTCTTTGTGTTACTTATGGCCCCCATCACTACCATATGTGAGAGCCCTATGATCTTGAATGTATTTTATCCTCACAACACCTTTGTGAGGTAAAGAAGTGCTATTATTCCCATTATACAGATGGGGAAGTGAGGCACAGAGAACTTAGTAGAGACCCGTGGCACCTAAATTTGCCTAATTAAAGACCCTGTTTGGAGAGATGGTGAACAACTGCATATCCCACTGAAGTCAATAGAACTGTGGATACTTGAGCACCTTTGAAAGTCTGGTGACTTATTTACAAGATATATCTAAATATTAATTTAGGTGCCTAATTTTAGACAATATTGACAAATTTGGCAGTTTTCCAACCACATAATTGTTACTTTTATTAGCATTTTTCCAAAGAATCCAAAAGGCACAAATCCATATTATTGACTAATAGCCTGTAAAACTTTGCCTTAAAACGTAACATTTTTGAGTTACGAGAGTTCAGAAAAGAACCTGAACCCAGACAACTTATTTTTTGGCACTCTTAGAACTTACAAAACAGATGGATTTCCCCCTACCCCCACCATTTTACAAAGAATTTGCTCCTAGGCTGAAACCTTTTAACTAGAGCATGTTTTTACAGCCAACCTCTAAAGTCCTCAAAGTACAGGGTTTACAGTATAATGGAAGCACTGACAAAGCCTTAACTGTAGCAATGGTATGGATGTTGCTATAGGTGGATAATACCCAGAGTTATTTTTTCTCATTAGACATAAATTTAATAATTTGAAGATACAAGAAAAACTTTCCTCTTGGTGGTAGGAGTGGTAATGGTGGAGAAATGGTCTAAATCTATTTTATATAATATTCTTTTTAATAACAGTGTCTATTAAAGACATCTGTTGAAAGTCTGTAATGCTGATTTAATAGGGAGAAAAAATAACAGTTCTTTAGCAATCCTGTCTTCAGTTTAACATTATGAACTGTTAAGAGAGGGTTTATGTGTATGACATTATTAACTGGAATTCTGCTCAAATTGAAATCAGGCCCACTGCCTTGACTGATCCTCAGTATGTTAGCTTTTTGCAATAAAAACTTTTAACTAGACAAAAGAATTAGTATAATTTTATATTCATTAGGATTTTCAAAATTCACCAGGCTGTGCAAAGAAATTTCTAACCACCTATACTCTGACTTGTAAGATATAACCTCTCTAGCAATATAAAGCTGCAACCAAAAAAATCATTGATTTACTATACTAGATCATTACTGTAACTATGGCGAGAGAGAAAATCCACCTCCAAAATTATTGAATTATAAATTGTAATAAAACACCCAATATTTTATACACACGTTGTCAGGCTTGAAAGAGACATGTTTTAGTTACAAGAGGGACTAGGGCAGACAGAGTTGGAGACAGAAGTCCAAAGGCCCTGTCCTGGAAGAAAGCCTACTTACAGAAATTAAATGCTGAATTTAAATTAATCATGTTGGTCTCTGGCTATGTTTAACATCACTGTAATTTAATTTTAAAACTTAAATGATAGAGATTAAAATAAACATACAACACGTCTTTTTATCACTTGAATTTGAAGAGACTTCATGTTTTCCATGCCTGTGGCCTTGATGGTTTTTTTGGCAGCACCGCCAGTGATAAAAGGAATAATTCACTACTGTCAGGGAATTTGGCTGTTTCATCACCTGCATGAAAGGCCAGCATAACTCCATGGAGATTTCTGTTTAAATGAGTTATATAGTTTCTTCATATACTTTTTGACTGAAAACTGATAACTCAGGCAATGAATTATTTGGCATTCATTTCTGAGCGACTCCTTTCTTTTTACAAATCATAGAGCATCTTTCACGTATCCGTTTTTAAAGCTTTCATATAGACTACAGTGAATTAATTTCCAATATGTCCATTAGATTAGCAAAGGGATAGTAAAATTAGACTTTTCTGTCAACCCTTTGCTTTGTTTGCAGCATTTGTTGACAATGAGAGTTGAGTTCCAGAAGTAGTATTGAAAAATTTGAAATGTATTGCAAAAGGTGCCTCTTTTCAAAACTAAGCAGGGCTGTCACTAGGGGATTCACAACTACCAGTAGAGGCATTTCCAATCTTTCCCCAAAAGCAAAATGCATTAACTGAGGAGCCAGAGACTAGAACCCCTGGAAAAATATGGATTCGGGGGGTAAGGGTATGGAAATGTGTGTTCCAGTTGATAAGGGAAGCATTTAAATGACAGCCCCTTCTAGAAATGTTACAATGATTAATACAGCCAAGGCCAGCCCTATACTATCTGACCCTCGCTGTACTGGTGCTCTAGGCAGAGATTTTATGGTGCCCAAACTCTCAAATCAGCAAGTGTCCCTCATCTTTTTTTATTCCCTGTTCCTAGGGCTAATCTTTCATCTCTTATCACTCTTCTTCTCCCCTACCTCTCTTCTCTTTACCCTTGCAAAGGTGGGGAACTCATCTTCTGACAGATCAGTTTCCTTCCTCAACCCCAAATCTGAGGAATGTGATCCTGGGGTACAGAATCTTCTGTGTAAATTATCTTTTCCTGCAGCTCCCACTCTGGGGTTGGGTTCTCGACTACAATGCTTTTCCACTGAACAGCTTCTTCCTGCAGCGATATTTCTCCTAGAGACATGATGCCCCTTGAAATGTAGCATTTTATGTACAATAGCTACCTATCAATCCTATGGATTAAACCACCTGGCCTGAATACATATCACTGGACACAAAACAAGCCAAACCTTTACAAAGACAAAAAGGGAGAAGTGTAATTAAAACAATTAGACAATGTAACACATACCTAGGTTCAGAATGTCTTTATTACAGATTTAAACACCACAGACACTTATTTAGGTTATAAGGCTGTTGTACACAAAGCTTATTGTGTGTATTTGATCTGTGCTATGGGGCTGACTGCATTTAGTGTGCTTTGCCATTGACTTCAATGGGAGCCGGAGTCGGCTCTGTGTGTAGTTACGAAGAAGAGCTCTGGGTAGCTCAAAAGCTTGTCTCTTTCACGAACAGAAGTTGGTCCAATAAAAGGTATTCCCTCACCTCCCCATGTGACTTGACTGTCGTTTTATTTGTTTAGGCCCCCATGTTCCCAGATGGCTGGGGAGTACTCAGTACAATACTGAGGAAGTACATAGGTGACCTCTTCTTTAAACACCCATTTTTCTCTGTCCTTCACAAACTTGCTTTTCTCACTTTTATTACAGTAATCTATTTACGTCTGAAAAATCTGTATCCTACAGCTGATGTTGCATTTACTATTTATGTTAAAACACTTAATCCCACCTACTTGAAAACTTCCTCCTTATTGGGTCGTTGTTGTTATTGTAGGCTGAAACTGGAAGTGACAGCTATAATTAAGCTTTTGAATATTTATATGACAATAATGTCCAGAGGCTCCAGTCAGGACTGAGACCTGTTTGTGTTAGGTGCTGTACAAATATACACAAAAACATGGTTCCCGCTTTAAAGTTGCAGGGTCAGGACCTAAAGGTGGTCACCAAAAACAAGTGAGAAGAGATGAATGACAAACAGAGGATTGCCTTTCTTCACTGTCTGTCTCTCATTTCTTATCCCTTTCTTCTGACTTTTAGTTTTCCCATCTGTCCCCAGTCTTCCATTTTACAGGGTTTTTAAAATTGTGTTTTTTACTGTGAATTTCATGTTCGTGAAGGAGGGGAACTGATAGCAGGCATGAGCCAAGTGTTCTGTTGGCAGGAACTGATATGTAGCCTCTGTTACTGCTCAGTAAAGGACAGCTAACCCTTGGATCTCAGTTGCACCCCCAAATTCATTGCACCAGTTGAAGCAGTGCTTTAAAAAAATGCTGCTGTTTGAGACTCAAAGCTGCCTGCTACACCTGATTGAGCAGTAATAGGGACACATCTTGTGGGAATGGCATACACTCTACAGATGTAAGAGGAGGGTTCAAAACGGATCATGGTAGTTTCATTGCTATTTCAGTGAGGCTCCTTTGGTATGATGCCCACCTACTGAGGGCTTGTCTACACTACTGCTTAAGTCAATGTAACTTACGTCGCTCAGGAGTGTGAAAAAGCCACCCCCCTAAGCGATGTAAGTTACAGCAACTTAAAGCAGTGTCTAGCTTCCGCCTCTCGTTGAGGTGTTCATCCCATCACCTGAGACGCTACATTATGTAGCGCAGTAGTGAAGACAAGCCCTCAGTCTAAGGTGGGTCCTCCCATCTATTCTAAGACTTGGGTCTTGTTATATTAGGGATGTGCAAAGATTCTGACATTCAAGTCTGAATTTGTATTTGTGATCCTGACATTCAGGTTTATTGATGTTCGTTTTTCTACCTGACTAAAACTCTACTTTATTTCCTAATTCATATTCTTCCCTTCTTCTTAGCAGAATTT